TGTTTGGAAAGCTGTTGATTAGCAGATGAGAAAAATAATTTTAAAAGCCAAAATTATTAAGTACCATGAAACTCTGTGATTACATAAAGCCATATTAAAAAAAAATCATAATTATTTTTCAGAAAGGGATATTGGTTAGTCTGGTTTTATTCAATATAGGTTCTTGGTGGAAAATTGAAGCTGCCAGGCTTCTGTTGTTGAAGGCTGATGGTTAGAAACAAGAAAATTAAAGTGAAATTTTGTGTTGAACTTATCAGGACATAGGATGAAGAGGTGACCATGCATTAACAGTGGTAGTTTGGGACCAAGCTGGGATGTCATCTGGCTGTTCTGATCAAGTCCTGTGCCTTCAGTAGTCCTAGTCTCAACCTGGAGTGAGTGAGCTATATTGTCCTCTCATGTTTCTGCAATATGATGTAGTTGGGCTCATGATCAGGTAAAAGATGAAAAAAAAAAGTAACAAGAGAGGGACAATAAAGGCACAGATGAATGAGCAAGAGAAAAGATACTGAATAGAGTGCGATCAGGCTTCAACACTGTCTTGTCTAATTTTGACAACCACATGTCTTCATGGGTGTGCTGGTTTTGTCTTGCTGCTCTTAGAGAGATGTTTGAAATGAAACGATGCTCTCAGGATAACACAGGGGCTGTCATCCCCTCACTGGAGAATCCCCTAGACTTCTCTCTATCCTCTCCATCCTAGAGGTCTATCTTTAAAAAAAAAAAATCCCAGACAGGAGAATAGTCATCCTTTAGTATCTGATGAGGCCTCATTTCTCTTGTATAACAATTATTGTATTAGCAAGTATTTTTGTTTGGGCAGATGCTGTCTTTCTGACTTCTCTTCATACTTCCATTACCTACATTCATAGTTACAGATTATTGCAGTATCTTAACTCCACTTTCCAAATGCTGCACCCACTATTAGGGGGAGTATTCTTTAACTAGTAATTATAAGTAGACTCAAGGGGAAGAAAAACAACTTGGAAATTATTTATCTCTTCTGGAAACAACAAAGTTGCATAATCATTCTAAAGTCTGTCTGTCTGGAAAAGGAAATAATCAAGCAATAATTTATCATTAATTCAGAATGGCAGCAGCATTTTGTGCAAGCAGCTACACTCCCTCAAATCTATTAACTTCAGTAGAAGTTAAATCAGGCACTTATGTTGCAAAATAATTTTCAGCTCTGTATTTTTCTCTAACTTTTACGTGTCATTTTCCTTGCCCTTTCTGTCCAGTTCCTTATTCCTTATATCCTGTCCATGGGTTAGAGCTCAATTCCTTTAATGGTTACCAGCTTCTGTGGTTGTTTCACTGTCACAGAATTAATGAGTATTCACACTTTTCTTCATCAAAGAATAGCTCTATAATCTTTATTTCATTACTTCCTAACAAATTCATCAATATCTGACTCTCTTAAAAGATTATGAGTTTTTAAAAGGCCTATTTAGACCCTATCACTTGGGAACAGAAAGGAAGTTACAGGTGAGAAGTGAAAAGAAGATGCTTTTTCCTTTATAAATCAGATTGGCATGTACTTTGAAGAATTGCTCAATTCCTTGTACAGTCAACAGTTACATATATTTAATTTGCTTAATTAAGGATTGTATACACACATATCTGCTATTCCTTTCATTGATCCAGTGTTGCCCTTTGAAGAAAGGGCAACCACAAGGAGAATTTGAAGTGAAATGATCTTTTGCCTTCACCAAGACTAGAAAGTAAAAAATGAGAACATATTTATACCAAAATAAATGGGTTTTTTATATGGCTGTGAGTTGAGACTAGAATATTCATATTAAATTCAGGAAGAATACAGTTGGAACCTTTCTATCTCTTGTGTTCTCATTACACTGTACTTCTGTACAGAAATATGCAGTTATATTGTAAATAATGGAGAACTGCACTTGTTCACACTGAAGTGTAATTAAGATCTAGTTAGGGAAGAATTCTGTACAAGTGTATCTTGGTATGCGTGTGAGTGTCTGTTGAAGGCCGTGGGAGGCCAGGAGTTCACTGCATATACAAATCTCCTTGATGAATCTATGACATGGGAAGTAAAACCTGGGTATTGTTTTAAATTTGAGCAAATACATTTGAATAATGCAACCATCCCATATAAAAGCAAATGGTACTGTGCACCTTATGTACTGTTTCCAGTTCAGATCAGAAGCTGAAGATCCTAAATATTTTGCACTGAGTTTCCCAATAGAGTACGAAGAGAAAGTTCAGAAAATAACCCAAGTACTACTTGTATGAGACTCCTCTATCCCACAGGCACTTTGCACTTTAGGGTGGAAGGGTAGGTTGAACTTAATCTTACTTCAGAATCTTTTCAAGTTCCCATTTCATGATTTACAACCTATTGTATGTGCTAATGGAATAGGCAACTACTGTTGCTTATGGGAAGGGAAACACAGAAACTGTGGGGATTACTCTGTGAGCAGGGCCACAGATAAAAGATTCTCTTGTTCCCAGTTCCCCATCTGTCTACCTGGCCAGTCAGGTTGTGCATTAAAATCCACAATATGGCTTCCAGTATAATGTAGCTTATGAAAGCAGGAAGTTGTGGCATACATTAAAGAGAAGCAGAAAGATTTCACAGAGTTTCCCACTCTCTTCTGATTATCTTAAAGTGTTACCTTTACCATTTACTGCTTACTTTAAGTAAATGAGAGAGGCTACATTGCTGATTGTAAACTCTTCCACATGCCCAGGAGTTTTTTACTCTTGAAGAGCTTGTAAATCTGCATGACTAGAGCTAGTTTTGTTCGCAGCACTGGGAAGAAATTTCTGAAAAGAAATCCATTGTTAGTCCTAACATGGCATTCAGTGCATTTGAAAGCACGTATGAATGTAATTGATATTGCTATTGCAAAGTTGTAGAAAACTTCTCAGAAACCATATATCATAGCAAGATATGATGCCTTCTTCAAAGCCACATTTCCAGCTTCCAAAAGGTCTACATATTGAATGTCTCTTGTCCAGAATGTTCACATTACTGTAGTTTGACACTGTACATTTTCTTAAATTTCAAATGGAAGAGGTAGCAGAAGATTCAGTTTCATGCTATAACTTTCAAAAGAAATGAGCTGCTGAGTTGGCCAAGCAGCTGATCAGATTGTCATTTATAAGTTCTGAAGACTTCAGACACAGAGGTAAAGTTATGTTACCTTTGATGGTTTAGATTTTGTTACAGAAGTTAAAAAAAGCATACATTAGAACAGAGTCAAAAGAGATCGGAGGCAAAAGGCTTTGTTATTCTCTCTGGCATTGCAATTAGCTTAACTTTCTGTTTAAGTGGGTAAAATCAGTGCTTTGTGAGGTTCTGTGGGAGAAACCTTGAATGATTGGTGATACATATACATATCTCTACAGTGTAATAGTGTGTGTGTGCGAGTGCATACGCGTTAACCAGCAGTAGATGGCTTAAACCTGATAATCTCCATAGTAAATGTGTACTTCCTCCCTAACCTGTATGTGCAAAAGATATAAAAATTTAGCACTCTAGGGATAAGTTTTGTAGTATAAGACAAACTTCGTAGTGTAAGATAGACATTTTGGAAAGGTTGAATTTCTTGGTGATATTGAAAAACTGGAAAAGTTAACTTTAAGTTGCAGAAGTCACAGTTAAAACTATGGCAACAAAACAGACAATTTAAGCGATGTGATACAATCAAACAGAAGGCAAAAGGAGTAAAACCCCAATTGAGAAGCTCTTGTTAATGAAGTAAAAAAAAATTATTGAATACTCACTGAACAGTACTGAGTGAAGACGCAATTCATTTTTCAACATATTTCTAAAATTTTTTTCAGACCCTTATTTATTGTGCTTTGTAGTGGTACTCCTTTGTTTCCAAACAAATGATTCAGTGCCCTTCCTAGTTATAACATCCCTGTGTTGTACCATTAGTCTCCCCACACAAAACAGATCCCACTTAAACAAGTTGTGAATCAGATAAACCAGTGTATCATCTGCTGTAGCTGCACCCCTGCTGCCACCGTTGTCTGGGAAAGAACTCCCTGCTGCACAGGGCTCCTGGAACTCAGAGGTGGCCCCAGCCCAGTACAGTAGGTCCAGCTCACTCCCCTTTGCCCTCATCCTTCTCTGTACTATGCTGTAATTGTACTGAATCCAAATGTATTGAGTTTTTTGTTCTCTGTTCATATTAAAGACTGGTCCTGAAAGGTATTGAGTAGGGCTGCCCAAATAATACATTTTTTAATGAAGCTGGGTTTTATCCACTTGGAATTGTTCAACTTTTTTTATTTTCCTTCCCCAAGAATTTAAGTATCTCTGACAGTATCTGGATGAGTTGATTGTCATTTCTTCTTATTTTACTCCACATATTTTCATTTTTAATCTGCACAAACACATGTTTTTTCAGATACAAAACAGAGAAGAGAAACAAGGACAAAGCCACGGTGAGGGAGCAGCAGGGAAGATAATTGCTGAGAAGGGAAAGAAAAACTGACACACACACACCCCAAACAAAAAGATTTCTGTTTTCACAAAGGAACTTGCAATTCTCCAAAAAGCTGGCAGGAATAACTATAGTCTAGTATATAATCCAGGTTCTACAGTCTATGTTTCTCACGGCAGGATACTTATATTTGTAGGGGAACATTAATTTTTAAGTAACATGCATTTTCTTATATTTATTAGGTGTTTAGTTCCAAATTCCAGAAATGAACAGAAATTATAGTATGCCCAAAAGGAGCTGCATGACCACTCTCTAAAGGCAGTACCTGCACTGAAAATTTTAAAAGATCATATAACCACAGCAAGGATATAACAAAATGCTCAGCTTCTCTAACCTTACAGGAAGATGTGCTACAATATCTCCACAGCCAATCAGCAGTACTACAAGCCTCAGACCAGGAAACCCTTTAAAGTACAGTATGTGTGAACATTGCAACAGGGACTTTCTCATTGCTGCTCTTTCTTTTTCCCTTCTTTATGCTTATAGGATGGCAAGGCAAATGTGAAGTCACTCATGGCGAAATTTAACACGGGTAGCAGCCCCACAGAAGATGTTTCTGGTAACAGTCGACCCTTCAAAGTCCCAGGACAACCTATCCATACAGGATTACAGACGAGGAAAGCAGCACTGGAGAAATTTGCAAACCAAGGAGATGCAACTTCTTCTTCGGGAGCCAGTACTTTTCACAAACCCACTCATCCTAAACCTCCTCTGGGGGTCAAACCTCAAATTGATGATAAAACAGAGAAGGATCCAAAGCCCCCATATTTGAAACCTGTGGCACAAAGGTTTGGAGTTCAGCTTAAGACAACTAACAGAGAAAATGATGGAAAAGCTGGATGCACTAAATCCCCCACCAAAACTAGTGACTTTGCAAAAGAAGAGCCGAAACCTCTGTATCCCAAACCTGCAGGGAACAAGTTCCTTAGCTCTGCTCCTCATGACAAAGAAAAAAATCCTCTGGTAACAAAACCAAATTCAAATTTTGCACCACAGGAGAGTGAGACAAAGCCAACATTTTCAAAAGTAATGGGAGTTAAGGAAAAATTAATGTCTGCAACACAAGAAAATGAGCCCAAGCCTCCTTTCTCTAAACCACCTCTTGCACAAAAACCTTCTCGAAACCATGATGTCTCCCACAATGAAGACAATTCGAATAAAAATAATTTTCTGCAAAAAGGAGTATCAGGACCCAGACCAAATATGCAGTCATTTAAAACAGAAAAGGAAATGGATGAAAATAGTAACTGTGCTGCAGATGCTGCAGGCAGTCATTTTTCTAACATGGCTCTGAAGCCTTCTGGCCCCTGGTCCAGTTCATCTCAGGGCACCCCCAAAAACTTGGAGGAAAAGACTGAAGAAACAGGAATGAGTGCTGCCAAGAACATCTTTCTCAACAAAATCATCCAGGAAGAATCAGGTTCTTCTTCTTCTAAGTTCCATAAGATGAACACAGCGCTTGCTGCAGTAAGGCCATCAGGTGGATCACAAGAGAAAGAGGATGGGGACAGGAGCTCAGGAGCCCCCAGGCGGAAAACCTTGCCCCCACTGTTCAAGCTGGGCCAGCCCCCACAGAAGCCCAGCAGACCCCCCAGTGTGGACCTGGAAAGATTCCGGAAGAGCAGCCCAAAAGACAGTGAGTCTTCTCTGTTCTTCCTTTCTTGGTTATTGGCTTTTTTATGTATTTAGTACCCAATTCATTTCAGGGGGAATCCCGTCTTCTCTGCAGAAATAACACAAGACTTGTGCATCAGACAACTTCTTAGAGCTTTAACCTATGCTTGTGTCTCTTCCATACAGGACAGAAATTAAAATTATATTCTCCCTTCCTCAGCAATAAAATGTAGGATGAATGCTTTCTGTGTTGGTTTTATTTGTTTTTCAAAAATATGTAGCTGTAACTTGTGTCAGGGAATTTAAGTACTTTTTCTCAGCAGACATTTAATTCCTGACTTCCTATAAATGAGATATCAATTTTGTGTGTCCTGTTCTTGGTAGTAACTTCCTGGGCACAGCCAGAAGGTCACCAAAATGATATACTGCAACCTGTGGTAACCACACTTTTTTTTTTCTTCTTTTTTTTTTCTTTTTTACCTTTCACAAGGACTGCTCACAGAGTGACCCTATAATTTGCTGTATTTTAAGTTTGTTTAGAAAGTTGAACATTATGCAAAATTACTGAATCAATTGTTCCCACATAGAGCTGTTTTACACCCAGATCTGAATCCAGACTCCAAAAGCATTTCCTGGACTTAGTATTTTCTGTTAGGTTTGCGTGACTTCAGTAGTGTGGCAGTTAGTAGCAGCTGAGGCTCTGCCTCACTATTTTTATGAAGAACCAAGCCTCTGAACTTTCTGCTAGTCATAATGCAGGCATGAATGTTAAGGCTTGTCATTCAGTTTCTGTAAAATTTGAGATGGTCTTCTGCGAGATGAGAGCTTTTTTAAATACATTTGAAATTCTAGGAGGACACAAATCCCTGTGAAAAGAATAAATTGCTGTGACTGCACTCCTGCAAAGAGCTCTGCTTCAACAGATTCATTTCACTGCGTAAGACAAGTTGCAACAACAATATAAGCTGTTTCTGAGGCACTCAAAATAGACCCTTGAAAATCTCATGTAAAAATGTAGTTTCCTAAAGTTAGACTCACATATCCACTGTAACCTCCTTGAAGGAGAGATCAGTTTTGTGGAGGTTCTGAATGTTCTTAACTCTCCCTTAAATTACCCGTGTTTCAAACTTTTGGGTTAAGGTTTTTCTCCACAGCTTTTAGGCACTCTTTCACAATTCTAAAAAGTGAAAATCAGCCACTTGAGTTATAATGGGTGATGCCAATTGACACATTTCTATTACAAATTTTAGAGTAGCTGAAGGAGACTTTCTCTTTTTTCTCATAGCACCAGGTGCTAGAAAATACAATTGCATGGGAAATTCTGATCACATTTTAAAATCAAAGTTTTAAGTTGTATGGGTCCAGAGGAAAGGTGTTCTTGATCTCACAGCATGAGAGAAACAGGGACAGAAATAAAAAATTGTTGTGTTAAATATTTGTGTTGGGAGGGTTTTTTGTTTATTTCTTTCTTTTACTTTTTCTTATTGCACTGCTGTCTGCATTGAGCTCGAGAAGCAAAGAATATATTCAATCCTCACATATGTTTTTTTCAGCTTAAGTAATTTTAACCAGCTATGTCCTGCAACTAATTGTGTCAACTGATACACACAGCTAAGTAATTTCTGATGATAAGGGGCATTTCACCTATGTTAGTCTGACTTAACCATATTGTAGATTTAACTAAACAGGTCAAACTTAGAGAAGTCGAATGTTGTGATTCAGAACATTAAAGCTGGATGTCTAATGTAGCTGATGATAGATGCTCTGAATAAATCCACATTGTGCATGTTCAGTACATTAGGTACATTCATGTAACTTCATTGACACAAAATTTGTCCTTGTCCCGTCCATATTTAGCACACAGTATGGCTTGTGCTTCATCAGTTTTGAATGCACGTAAGACTGGTCTTCCTGAGACAGAAGACATTCAAAGGGGTTATGACCAGATGAAAAAACTCAGCACTGACTTTCTCTAAAGACAACAGCCACACTAAAAACACAGAGTGTGCATGTAACTATGTATTCTATTATTATTAATTCCACTCAAAAATTAGGAGTGTATCAGTAGCATAAAATCTACTTTCTTGTCAGCTGCTATATTCTGATTTTCCTATGTTATCCTATAGTTATGGAAATGTTCTCACAAATCAATGTCCCTTCTGCATAGAACACTGTTTAGCATGGCTGGCTTTACTTGAGTGCTCACAGCAGTCTCAAAATGGAAAGGCAGCATTTTCAGCAAATGGCACCATCAAATGCTTTGATTAAACAAAAACAATAAGAGCTTTGCTAGCTAGAACCTTCAGAAGTCCTGATGAAGGCTGGAAACACCTAAAACGGCAATTATTTTTTTTTAACTACATTTTTTAGTTTATTTTTAAGTAATTAGCAGAGGAATGATTTTATTTGTTTGTTTGTTATTTACTCAATTATTTCATTTTGTTTTTCTGGTTTCTATGCAGTTATAGACACAAAGCATTTCTTCATCCTCTTTTTAAAACTGAGGGTTAGAAATATTTGTCCTGAGCATTTCAAATGAATACTGTGAACAGGGCTGCAAGGATAATACCAGAACTTGTGCTAGAAGGAGGATCTCCAGTTGTCACTAACCAGAGCTAGGGCAGCCACTGGGAATATGAGCTAAAGATGGAGCTGCCCAGTGTGGTGGCACAGGTTATTCTCCAAATATATTACAAACTATACACCCAGGTAAGTAGAACTGACAGGTCAGACATGGTCTTCTCTACTTCATAGTCTTTGGGTCAGGGCTAGACTGAAAGATTCAGAAGTGGCATCAATATGAAGCTGTTCTTAGCGGCCCTGAACTTCAGCCTTCCCCTGTAGAGCTGGCATGTAGACGTTAATGTTCTGTTTGGCTTTAATTAATGCAGCTCATTTCTTTGTGGATGGAACTCTTCATAGAACAATTCTGGCGGAGAGACCAGCTGTTCTGGAGTGAATCCTGAACAAACTCATTTTCAGCTTAACAAAGTTATTCATTGCTGTTTACTGCCTTGGAACATTAAATTACAAAACCAACCTGCTCTGGAAAGGCGGTTAAACTGAATTGTTTTCTTTTCTTTTTTTTTCTTAACTGTCATTTCAAGAATCAAAGTCATGTCAGGAAGATACCACCCCCACAGCATAAATGCTTCCTGCTCATTACTTTGTCCTGATAAACAGCAGCTTGCCAGAGCTGCTGAATTTGCTGCTGTGATTCAAGTGCTGAATAAAAAGAAGAACGAGCAAATGGAAATGATTTTCCCATCCCGCAAAGCTTTCTGAGGTCTAACCTTTGGGGATTTTGATCTGTACTAGGGCAGAAGTTAGGTTTTGTGTTGACCTTTAAGAACTGAAAAGCTCCACATGCCAGTTGTTATACTTGCATTAGGGACATGTGCCTAGATTACCTGGTTTAAACCATGAGTTTGAACTCAGCTGTCTCAGAAACATCAATTCACCACTTTTTCTTTGGTTGTTTTCCTTTGCCATGAAAGCTGCTTTTCATAATTAAGTATGCACGGGGCATGAAATAACTTTAAATGTTAGAGGCTAAAGGACTCACCTTAGATGCAACAGTCATGTACGGGTGGAGGTTTTAAACCTTATTCATGGAAGGGAGGAGGTTTTAAACTGTCCACCATGCCTGCATGAATACTAAGGGATGTCATTTTTTGTATTGGCCTTGCTTTGGATTAGAAATTTTCACCTTGTTCTGAGAAACTTTTTGATGGAACTTCAGCAGATGCAAGTGTCTTGCTATGGAACGTTTGACTACTGATGCATTACTATTTTCCAGTGAAGGTGGGCTTTAAGAAATTCCTGTCTGGGTCTATGAATACATGGCACCATTGAACATTCTTGTGTTATGTCCCACTACAGCAATTTTCCTTGTAGATCCTATTTACATCAGCTCAGAATCAATGAGGTGCATGTGCTTTTCTAGGGCTTTGTTAGAAAAAAAGAAGAGAAGCAAAGTAATTTTGCCATGTGAGGCCTCAACCATACTGTTGCTTTCAGAGAACTGCACCTGGGCTGACCTCAGTGGGATTGCGCGTGTACAGCTGGCCACCCACACAAAGTCAGTTGAAGGTTCAGAGTCCCTGCTGCTCTAGACACCTTTGAACACCTCGTGAACAATCAACATTGGGGCTTCAGCTGGGGAGAAGTTTCTGAGCTGTGCTGGGAGAAATGAAAGGAAACTGTACTGAATGTAAGAGAAAAGAAGACATAAGAAAATTCTCACAATTTATAAATTGGGTTATGGTTGTGTCTGCTGTCCTTGTTGAGGTTCTGTTCTCCAATGGATTGTGTACCCACACAGTGACATGGCTATTTGAGTTGGGTAAGACAACTATAAAGAAGGAATTAAAATTTGAGGTGTATTTTCAAAGTTACCACAACACTCTGTTGGCAAAATAATTAACCAAGCACCACTCCCAAGGACAGTGTACATCTTAACTGTCTTTGCAAAGCCCCTTAGAACCAATAAATTGTTGCTCTTACTTGATGGCAAGATGAAACAGCAGTTTCCAAAGTTATAAAGAACAGGGGATTTCTTTTATCACAGGATGTCAGGACTGTTTACTGCAGAATCTGGACTTAAAAGGTCAATGCAGGTTTTCTTTTTTTACCTCAGTGCTAGATTGGATAAAGTTATGCAACAGCTCAGTATTAAGGTATAAGGGGATAAAAAGTATTGTAACTTGATACAAATCATCTGTTTCTAAGACAGATGAAAATAAAAGTAGGTGATGATAACAAACAATGCTGTTCAGGGTGGGGTGGGGGTATCCCTGTACAGCTCACAAAAGTGTCAAAATTATTATTTCAGAATAGAATAATAATTATGTGCAACATAATGCCTGAACTTTGCTATACATAGCTAAAATGATGAATTTTAAGTGATACCTAGTCTTTTATTAGATTTAATTATGTTGATGTGTATTATTATTATTGGTCCCCATACATTTCTCTGAAAACTGTGGAAGTGAAGTTGATATTATGATCACATAGGTCTGA